GCTTGGTGCCCCGGAGAAGGTGGGCTGCTGAGAATACACAGCCATGCGTCCTCTAAGGAAACGCGCTCCGCAACATGCAGGGAAAGACCGTCACAAGCAACAAGACCCAAAAACCATAGTCTCACTTGGTGCACCCATGGTTTGCCCTGCTAGCCACATAGCAACCGACAGGGCCAGGAATATAGATGCAGTGCAACACAAGGAGCAGCACTCGACTTGTCTGCAGTTCGTGTTGGACGCCACCAATCGGAATGTACACCACGAAAGCTTGGTGCCCCGGAGAAGGTGGGCTGCTGAGAATACACAGCCATGCGTCCTCTAAGGAAACGTGCTCCGCAACATGCAGGGAAAGACCGTCACAAGCAACAAGACCCAAAAACCATAGTCTCACTTGGTGCACCCATGGTTTGCCCTGCTAGCCACATAGCAACCGACAGGGCCAGGAATATAGATGCAGTGCAACACAAGGAGCAGCACTCGACTTGTCTGCAGTTCGTGTTGGACGCCACCAATCGGAATGTACACCACGAAAGCTTGGTGCCCCGGAGAAGGTGGGCTGCTGAGAATACACAGCCATGCGTCCTCTAAGGAAACGTGCTCCGCAACATGCAGGGAAAGACCGTCACAAGCAGCAACACTCCAAAACCGCAGCTTTACTTGGTGCATCCATGGTTTGCCCTGCTAGCCACATAGCAACCGACAGGGCCAGGAATATAGATGCAGTGCAACACAAGGAGCAGCACTCGACTTGTCTGCAGTTCGTGTTGGACGCCACCAATCGGAATGTACACCACGAAAGCTTGGTGCCCCGGAGAAGGTGGGCTGCTGAGAATACACAGCCATGCGTCCTCTAAGGAAACGTGCTCCGCAACATGCAGGGAAAGACCGTCACAAGCAGCAAGACCCAAAAACCATAGTCTCACTTGGTGCACCCATGGTTTGCCCTGCTAGCCACATAGCAACCGACAGGGCCAGGAATATAGATGCAGTGCAACACAAGGAGCAGCACTCGACTTGTCTGCAGTTCGTGTTGGACGCCACCTATCGGAATGTACACCACGAAAGCTTGGTGCCCCGCAGAAGGTGGGCTGCTGAGAATACACAGCCGTGCGTCCTCTAAGGAAACGTGCTCCGCAACATGCAGGGAAAGACCGTCACAAGCAGCAAGACCCAAAAACCATAGTCTCACTTGGTGCACCCATGGTTTGCCCTGCTAGCCACATAGCAACCGACAGGGCCAGGAATATAGATGCAGTGCAACACAAGGAGCAGCACTCGACTTGTCTGCAGTTCGTGTTGGACGCCACCTATCGGAATGTACACCACGAAAGCTTGGTGCCCCGGAGAAGGTGGGCTGCTGAGAATACACAGCCATGCGTCCTCTAAGGAAACGTGCTCCGCAACATGCAGGGAAAGACCGTCACAAGCAGCAAGACCCAAAAACCATAGTCTCACTTGGTGCACCCATGGTTTGTCCTGCTAGCCACATAGCAACCGACAGGGCCAGGAATATAGATGCAGTGCAACACAAGGAGCAGCACTCGACTTGTCTGCAGTTCGTGTTGGACGCCACCTATCGGAATGTACACCACGAAAGCTTGGTGCCCCGGAGAAGGTGGGCTGCTGAGAATACACAGCCATGCGTCCTCTAAGGAAACATGCTCCGCAACATGCAGGGAAAGACCGTCACAAGCAGCAAGACCCAAAAACCATAGTCTCACTTGGTGCACCCATGGTTTGCCCTGCTAGCCACATAGCAACCGACAGGGCCAGGAATATAGATGCAGTGCAACACAAGGAGCAGCACTCGACTTGTCTGCAGTTCGTGTTGGACGCCACCTATCGGAACGTACACCACGAAAGCTTGGTGCCCCGGAGAAGGTGGGCTGCTGAGAATACACAGCCATGCGTCCTCTAAGGCGACATGCTCCGCAACATGCAGGAGAAAGACAGTCACAAGCAGCAAGACCCCAAAACCATAGTCTCACTTGGTGCACCCATGGTTTGCCCTGCTAGCCACATAGCAACCGACAGGGCCAGGAATATAGATGCAGTGCAACACAAGGAGCAGCACTCGACTTGTCTGCAGTTCGTGTTGGACGCCACCTATCGGAATGTACACCACGAAAGCTTGGTGCCCCGGAGAAGGTGGGCTGCTGAGAATACACAGCCATGCGTCCTCTAAGGAAATATGCAGCGCAACATGCAGGGAAAGACCGCCACAAGCAGCAACACTCCAAAACCGCAGCTTCTCTTGGTGCACCCATGGTTTGCCCTGCTAGCCACATAGCAACCGACAGGGCCAGGAATATAGATGCAGTGCAACACAAGGAGCAGCACTCGACTTGTCTGCAGTTCGTGTTGGACGCCACCAATCGGAATGTACATCACGAAAACTTGGTGCCCCGGAAAAGGTGGGCTGCTGAGAATACACAGCCATGCGTCCTCTAAGGAAACATGCTCCACAACTTGCAGAGAAAGACCGTCACAAGCAGCAACAACAGTTTCACTTGGTGCACCCATGGTTTGCCCTGCTAGCCACATAGCAACCGACAGGGCCAGGAATATAGATGCAGTGCAACACAAGGAGCAGCACTCGACTTGTCTGCAGTTCGTGTTGGACGCCACCAATCGGAATGTACATCACGAAAACTTGGTGCCCCGGAAAAGGTGGGCTGCTGAGAATACACAGCCATGCGTCCTCTAAGGAAACGTGCTCCGCAACATGGAGGGAAAGACCGTCACAAGCAGCAACACTCCAAAACCGCAGCTTTACTTGGTGCATCCATGGTTTGCCCTGCTAGCCACATAGCAACCGACAGGGCCAGGAATATAGATGCAGTGCAACACAAGGAGCAGCACTCGACTTGTCTGCAGTTCGTGTTGGACGCCACCTATCGGAATGTACACCACAAAAGCTTGGTGCCCCGGAGAAGGTGGGCTGCTGAGAATACACAGCCATGCGTCCTCTAAGGAAACGTGCTCCGCAACATGCAGGGAAAGACCGTCACAAGCAGCAAGACCCAAAAACCAAAGCGCCACTTGGTGCACCCATGGTGTGCCCTGCTAGCCACATAGCAACCGACAGGGCCAGGAATATAGATGCAGTGCAACACAAGGAGCAGCACTCGACTTGTCTGCAGTTCGTGTTGGACGCCACCTATCGGAATGTACACCACAAAAGCTTGGTGCCCCGGAGAAGGTGGGCTGCTGAGAATACACAGCCATACGTCCTCTAAGGAAATATGCTGCGCAACATGCAGGGAAAGTCACAAGCAGCAACACTCCAAAACCGCAGCTTTACTTGGTGCATCCATGGTTTGCCCTGCTAGCCACATAGCAACCGACAGGGCCAGGAATATAGATGCAGTGCAACACAAGGAGCAGCACTCGACTTGTCTGCAGTTCGTGTTGGACGCCACCTATCGGAATGTACGCCACGAAAGCTTGGTGCCCCGGGGAAGGTGGGCTGCTGAGAATACACAGCCATGCGTCCTCTAAGGAAACGTGCTCCGCAACGACGACAAGCAGCACTTCTGCCCGAGTGGCCACATAACATGGCAACCGACATTCTTAGAAACATAGAGAAAGCACCCGCGCATCGTCGACGGAAAAGTCAACCCAACACGCCGGCCGGCCACGTGCAGTGTTTGGCAGAATCCTCAGCACATCATGCAGGCCTCACACACGAAAAGCACATAATGTCTCTGAAAACTTCACGTTGGCACTCAGCGACGGCTAACACCCCATACTCTGCCGCTCAGACTTCACATGGCCCCAGCTCGCTAACAGAAGACGAATCGCATGCCGTGCCGCAAGCCTAGTCCCGTCAATCATGCTGCACCACACGAGACTTTTTGCTCTCGCATCCTTTGGGCACTAAAATTCTTGCAAGAGGGATCTCTTTGTGGATCCTCTGTGGTCCGGGCTTTACACTCCGAGGAGGTTTCCAGCACAGAAAATCGCTCTACATTCCGGACTCAAAGAGTTTCAATTTCTTGGCGAAGTGCCGTGCTGCCAGAATCTTCAACCTCTGGCAGCAACAAAACACTGGAAGGGTGTGCTGGATAGCTACTGAAGTGGCTGCAACACAACCAACTCCTCTTCCGCCGTCGTCTCTTTCTTCGTTTCATACTTCGCAGCCTGGCAGCCTGCGGATCGTTCACCCTGCATGCAATCGCAGTATTGGTAACCGCTCACTTCTCTCTGTCAGCTTCCGCTTGTCTCCCTTGCGGTTTGCCACCACTGTCTCGGGACTCCTATGCTGCTGACCATTCTGTTTGTCTTCGTTGGTGATACCTTCCTGTTCCCGATCGTGTTGTCTTGGGAACTTATTTCGTTCCAGTCGTCATTCAGCTTATCATTAGCCCCATCCGGAGGGCTGGATGGCTCAACTAGTTCACACAAGCCTGAAAAAACATGCCACGTTCTATAGCCCTGAGTGTCGGAAGTCTTGCAGCTCTTTCACATTGTGCTGCTGTTTCATGCGTCGTGCCAATTGAGACCATGTTTTTCTACAGCTCATTGTTGGTTTTTTCCTGTGGCTCTGTGTCCTTGCTGCTAGATCGCGTTACATCTGACTTCTGTGCAGGCCCTCCGTGTCAATGACTGTGCAGGTTTGTCGTATGCATGTATATACATCTGTACAGATCCACGAATTGCTCAGTGCAGCATGGAGCGGTGCTGACGTCCGTCACTTCATTCGCAGCAGCATTAGCCCAGCGCTGATATCATCCGGTTGACTCGTCTCCAAAGTGCTGCCGTAAGGCTACTGGACACACTTCCCTGGACTTCTTGTAGCCTTGTCAAGTTCTCTCTGCCAAAATCAAGTGGGAACAGCCCGCTTCAAGTGAGCTCCATCCGCAAGTGCGAGACTCTGCAGGCGTCTTGGGACGCGCTGCCTGTCTACAAATGCTGTTGCTGCCTTCTCCCGAAGCAGCAAAGCCAGCGACGACATGAACAAATCAAGTTTTTACGTGGTTTGATTCTCACTCCGCTTATCATTCGTGCCTCGGGAGCAACGAGGGGATTGGGATTGTCACGCAGCGACTGCTTCGGCAGAAGCCTCGGGGGCTAGCGGCGGTTCCTTGCAGAACCGCACGTAAGTCCTGTTTGGAGCAGAAGACTGACACGAGATGCACTCATCTCTTGAACATCTGCTCAGCTGTAATCTGTGAGCAAGACCACCAACATCAACTAGCATCAAAGTCCGCTGTCCTCATCTGTGGCGGTTGTTGCCACCCTGCCAACCGAAAGCATTATCCGGCGTCTCAGCACAGAGACAACCCTCACTGTACACCTACACGTGCAGAGGCAGACGAGAATGGACACATCGCGACAGCGGGCGGCAGACGGGTGAGAAAGACACCCAAAACAGCAGAAGTGGAAGTGGAAGCTAATTTCTTGAAAATGCTGTCAAACGGAGAGAACTGGCCGATGTCAAGAGCTCTGGCTCTTGCAATTACCGAGTAGGAGAGTCTTAGAAAGTAGAGTGATTTGCCAACCCAAACAAACATGACATCTCGAAACAGAAGCTCGACCCTCACGTGGTTGAGACAAGGAGCCATGTGACCGTGCATGCGGCCGCACTTGGAGGACAGGGGAGCTTCCACAGCAACGGTGGACACGCTAGTAGTATCTAGTCAACTTCTTGTACTCAAGTTCGTGCGGCTCCATTACTTGAGCTCCCCTGCCCCTCCAAATGTCCCACCCGTCCGTCAAGGACAGGCTATGCAAAGCACGGACCAAAAGAAAGCCTCGGCTGCTCGAGTTGTGCACTCGCCCCGTCGCGAAGTCGCGCCGAAAGAGCACCAAAATCACGGGGCATCCGAAGCCATCAGGCAGCTGAATTGCAGAAAGGAGGCTCCGCAGCTTTGGCCGGCTTAGCAGCCACTTCCACCCACCACCTCCAAGCCTAGGGGCAGCTGAAAAGGCGGATGATAGATGCAAGTTGTGGATGCTGAGGACCCGGCAGGCAGTGGCTGGGATCATTGTCATGAAGTTGATCTGCAAGCTTCAGATTTGGCTTTCTACATCCGGCAGACAACTGGCAACGGCCCGTCAGCTGCTGAAATGTATTCTTGCGCTTGCCTGCCCTCTACACCCGCGCCCCAGCCCCTGGATCTCGCAAGCCATAATTCAACACAGCCCATCCAAACCTCCCTGTCCTCTGAGATTCGACAAGCCCTTCAGAACAAGTCTGAATTTTGAATTGTGTGCACGAATCAGCGGAAGGCGCACCGTTAACGCGTAGCTCATCGCAAACGCAAGGAGCACGATAGTAATGACACCTAAGTTGGCAAGCAAGTGTCATCAACTCCGGGGGCAGTCATAGCACTGTAGAGACGAGCAGAGGAATGCATGACTCGCATGTATGTGTATAGAGAGAGAGAGAGAGAGAGAGAGAGAGAGAGAGAGAGAGAGAGAGAGAGAGAGAGAGAGAGAGAGAGACACAGAGAGAGAGAGAGAGAGAGGGGGGGGAGAGGGAGGGGGAGAGGCTGCACCTCCCAGTCATGCTAGAACGTAAGGTCCCGAAAGGCTAGCTCATCTAAAAGAACCCGCTTGAGAGACAGTCAGACGCTAGACTTGCTGATGGATCGCCGTACGTCGATCTGCTTCCCCATGCCTTCTTCCTGCATGGCCGAAAGGGATGGGAGGTCTGGCTTGGGTCAGGGCTCATCTTGTGGCAGGGTGCTTTGGCTTGAGGACAAGCAGGACGCGGACCTCGACGATAACAGCTTGGCCAAACCACCTGCATTACTGCCTTACTGACCGCAGGATGCGTCCTCCTCTGAGCTTCCTCCTTCTGGTCCGGGATGAGAAGAAGCAGGAGGAAGGATGCGAAGGAGAAGCCGTAGCTCAACAGGAACCTCTGCAACAGGATGCAAACGGTCCGAATGCGAAAGGATCACTACCAGTAGCAAGTGCCGCTGAGCAGCGAGAGGGCCACCGTATTCCGGAACTCCGGTGTGTCAGACCTTGGACTCCACGAAATGTTTGTCAACTTTAGGTTCTCGTGCTTCGCCTTCATGTCCGGATTTGCCAAATTCCGAAACAGCGCGCCCTTTCTGTCTTGTCTGATCAGTTCGCAGCTGTGCACTCGAGCCCATGCGAATTTCTCATCCCACATCCCTTTTAAAGTGTAGCCCGGGAGTGCGGGCAAGGGGCCGGTAGTTCGCCGAGTCCGAGAGGTTCGGGCGGAAGAGGCCAAAAATCTCAGGGAAGTTGGGGCTCGGGGCCGGTGCCAGGTAAGAGAAGTTTCGATTACGACAGCTCCCCACCGACCCGGGCCGAGGTGATGCCTAAGCCTAAGCCTTAAAGGCTCCGCCAACACACACGCCAACACTAGGAGCCGCCAGCTCTACTCCCCTGCCTGGTTGCCAATGGCTCTCGAGAACGGATTTCCCAGGTTCCTGAGGCCATGCGCAGCATCAAGTGCAATGAAGAGCAGTTGGACTCGCCAGTGGAATAGGCCAGCGTAGACCCCAAACAGTGCAAGAGCACTCAGTAGTCCAAGCCCTACCTACCCAACAATGACCCCAGTAACACGCCTGCAGCAGGCCTGAAGCACCCATAGCCGAGGTGCGCCACTGTAGTCAAGAGCCCATAAGTGAGGCCCTCCACGCCCTGGAGGCTGTGCAGCTGCTGATGAGGGAAGCTGCAGCAGATGATGCCGGAAGCTGAAGCTGCTGATGATGATGATGATGGTGATCGTGATGGCAACGGTCGGTGATGGTGATGGTGAAGCTGATGATGCTCATGGTGCTCATGACCGGCACTGTGTGACAGACATTGGTGAATATCGCGAGTCTCACTAGCAAAGTCATCCCACCTGGTCTGCCAGCTCGACGACGATGAAAGTGCCGATGACCTGACGCGCATCGTTCTGATGGGGAACAGCCTTTCGGGAAGGCCTCCACAGGGTCTGCATTGCCTTGGCAGGAAAGCCTACTAATAGCTCATTGAACCCACGTCAATATCACCAGCCTCAGTTGAACCGTGGACCAAAGGAGCAAAAGCCCTAAAATGCTCCCGAACGGCGAAGTTCGCCGCTGCTGGTATATCATCCAGGATCTGCTCGCCCAGGTAGAAGTACTGGTTTCGCACCTAGCACCGACAAAGTTCGGCCGATCCAGTGTTTAGGGTATCTGGTCGCATCTTAGCCATCAAGATTGTGGATTTGGGTAATTGCTGGAGAGCAGCCCTTTAGCTAAGATTGCCGAGGCTGACAATCCAAACATATTTCATCGCAACGAGTCTCCCAACTAGGCTCCGGGCAATGTCGTAAGTGGTCAGAAGTGCCAACGTTCCCTCAGGAGTTTGATTGCAGAAAGGATCCATCAACCCGTGTGTTGCCATTGACCTGTTCAGCAGTGATAAGCGGAAGCAACTTCGAGGATTCGACGCGGAAGGATCCCCTCAAGACCACAGTCCAGCGGCATCCATCACATTCAAGAAGATGCCCGTGCCCAGAAGCATCTTGCGCCAGCCTGGGCATGCTCTGCTGCTGGACGGGCTTGCAATAAATGCTTCGGGTCAGGCCCTGAAGATGCCGCTGAGGCACTGCAGTGAAGAAAGCGCTTCCTTAGAAGTCACGATTACGACACCGATATGGATTTGATGGATTGTCCCCATCCCTACGAGTAGCTGATCAGCCTCCCTGAATCTGTTACGAACATTCCACCTTGAGGCCTTTAAGCCTCAAAGCCTGAAAAGACTCAACAGAAAGCTCAACGAAACTGCTGAACGGCAATGTGAGACCCCCGTGTAATCACGCGCGACACTAAGGTTGGGTCAAGCGTTGAACTTGCTTTAAGGTGCAATTCACAAATGCCAGGGGTCTTCACGATGTGGAGGCCATAGGAGAACACCATCAGCGACACGAGGCTAAAGAGCCTGAGTTCAGGAAGCTCCCACCGCCAGCCAATTTATTTAGGCGCGAAGGAACGAAGTGGCAGAAATCTTGGTGATACTATACTACTTATGTCTACGTGCAGAGCGATGCAGATCGGCTTGCGGTGTATAAGTCCTATATCCTAATGACAAAGCTCACTTGAATTGAGACGCTGATTCTGGAAATTCTTGACGCCGGCCCATTCACCTCGAGCGATTTCGAATCTAGTCTGAATGGGCTCAAGGGATACTGAAATTCACATGTTTCTGGCTTGGGCCCATCTCCCCTGGCTTCTGCAGAGCAGCTCTTCACCAATCCCGAGGCTGTGGTGTTAATGCGGCCGATCACCGCTTCCCAGAAGTTCCACATCACCTCAGGAAGTCACGAAACTGTCGATCCAAGAGGCCCGTGGCCGGACCGGAGTGCAGTCGAGTTGCCACCATGAAGACTGCCTCGGCCGTTTTTCAAATTCCGCGCCAACTCTGAGGGAACCCGAGAACCCTGAAACAGCCCCAGTGCTCCGACGAGGTCTTGATTGCTGAGCGTCACCGAAGTGTGATAGCCCTAAACCCTCCAAGACTCCCTGGCAAAAACGGCCCCCCCCCCGCCTTGTGCGTCATCAATGCCCAGGCCTTCGAGCACTGCGAGCACTGAGCCGAAAGGGCAGGACAAGGAACCCCCGGAAGCCGAAGCTCTTTGCGATTGGTGCCTGGCGCAGGTACTGCCGCAGGGACCTGCGCTGGCCCTGCGCGGCACGGGGTGCTTTGCTCAAATCTTCCCGTTCCCGTTCCGCCCCTGGACACCCCCACCTCCTGCACGGGAGTGTCCTTGACCAGGAACCACCTTGGACTTGGACCGCACGGAGGCTCCAGAGAGCGGCTCCAGAGCTGAAAGCATGGCAGAACGCGCGGCGCGCGCGCGCGTCTCTCGCGGTTCTCACAAGTCCACAAGAAGCCACAGACAGAGCCGCACGTGTACACGTGGCGAGGCCCAGGCAGCATGAGAGCTCAGACCCTGACGACACCGGGATCATGAGCCCCGCCGGGATGGAAAAGATGAGCATGACCTGCCAAATCTTTACCATGCCGTCAACATGACCAGAATCCAAAGACAAACGGGACCGCAAGAGGAGGGGGGATTTGTCGCAGACGAAAGTTGTGCCTGGTTGAAGCGTAAAGTGAAGTCAAAAGTGCCGTTGTACTCCTGGCCGAGCGGCTTTGCACAGTGCACCCCTCAGGCTAGGCCTGTCTACCATGCCACCACGCGGGGAAAGTAATGCCCGTGTTGTGTCATACTCCGACATTTACATCCGATATACCGCGAGCTGCTTAGGTGCCTTTCTTGAGCAGCGTTGCTGCAGCTGCGTAGCGTAGCGCTCACGCGTCCTTGCCGTTCATTCCGATACCAACGACGGCTGTGGCCGCTATGGATCCGATCGTTCTAACCTGTGTCGGGGCAGGCTTCAGGGTGGAGGACAGTTTGCAGTACCACAGGCTGGGTTCGGCTAGATCGGATCGAGCGGCCAAGTAGATGGTCGTCTGGGTAGTGCCACGCTTCTCCTGCAAGATGTTTGCGTTACGCGAGGCACCTCTACGGACACTGGGGACACACACGGAAAGACACTTCTAGTGAAGCTGCAGGCTGTTGGCGATTGGCGATTCTTACCTTGAAGGTATGGAGATCTATGGAGTGCTGCCGGAAGGAACGGCCTGCGGCTCTCGCTGCGCGAACTCCACCATGAGGCCATCGGCAGCCACGTCAGCCACAACCTAATCAACTGAAATGGCGCTTCGCTCACTCCGCCAGCACCTTTTGACCTTTTGCTTGCCCGACTTTGACCTCGCGATGCTTCCTTTGGGCCTCTGGGCAGGGCCTCTTGGAGGCCCTTGCCCTTGAGAGCTGAGCGAGTGCTCTTAAGCACTGAACGTCTGTCGTCAGCACCCACGCTGGGCGCTGGGAATTGGCCATTTCACCGAGCCGCGCATCTGGCACAGCAAACTCAACGGGGTCAGAGGGGCGTGCAATCGAATTCGGCCAGAGGATCTCTTTGGCATCGACGAGGGCTCGTGAAGACCTCCGGGTGAAATGAGCGATGAGCTAGTGATAGTGACGAGTCGTGATGCTTTGTTGCTGGACTTCTCGCTCAAACCTTAAAGACTGTTCGACACACGGAGCCCAACCAAAACAAGTCCTGGAAAGGTCTTCGCCTCTCAACTTGCGTCGTGCTCGGAGCCGCTTGACTCTAAATCTCCTCCGTCACGCAGGTCGATCTTCCTGGGCTCAACATCTTCCGTGTGTGAGCTTCTGGAGAAAACGTGTTCGGCACAGCCGCAGAGTGTTGATCTCGCCGAGCAGGCTCTTGCGCAGGTCTGACCTTGGCCAAGCCTATAGGCACCATTCACGACCATTGCAGAAGGCTTGCACCACATCCCTGTGCCTGCACATCGTGAGTTCAAGTTCAGCCCAAGAGGCAGCTCCTTGGTGAAGCTGGTCTTCAAAATGCCTGAGGGCTCGTCGACGCTCCATTGTTTGGGCTTGCTTTCGTGACTCAAGGCCGTCGTGGTTGCTCTCGGCAGAAAAAAGTCTCTGACGACCCTGCAATGGGCAAGCCTCCTTTAGGGATCTTTCTTCGAGTGTTAACTGCGTACCGCTCGGTCACTTACCTTCTGCGGCCTGCTGTCTCACCAAATTGACCCTCTCTGACGGACCGAGGCGCGAATGGATCCCTTCACGTCCTGTGATGGAGGGCTCTCAAGGCAAATTACAGCCGCGATCTCTTGCATGTGAAGCCCGGATGCTTCTCCAGGGGCACTGCATCCAGCCTGCACCGTCGCCGGGTTCGTCCCACGCAGGTTCAGCAGCCCATCCACCTTCAGAGCTACACGAAGAATATATTCTGGGGTGACTATGGTCGCCTTTGGTGGGCAGCTGATATCTGCCAGCATTCTCCCATGCAAGCGGACGGACAGTGCATGGAGTGCCAATGGCACCGAGCCGAGGTGCTAGGTCCTCGAAGTTCATCTGTCGGCCTTTGGCTTTGGCCGTCGCTTTGGATCTCTCTGGGACATTCCTGTTTTGGTGTGGCCCAGGCCTTCTTTCTCCATGATGTCCTCGTAGAAAGTATCCAGCATCTCCTCGGAAGCACAGTGTTGCAGAGCCGGGCGAAACCGTTTTAACGCTACTAGCATTTTTCTGCTTGCTGCCGTCAGCTCCACCATGACGATGCTGTCCACATCCAAACTGTACCTCGAAACGTCTGGAAAGTTGTACAATGTGAACTGCCCACACCTGGCATGTTAATCGCAGCGGAACACAGAAGAAAGCCCCTTTCGCCCGAAATCCCCAACACCGACACGACGAAGCTGAGGGCGCAAGAACTGTGCCACTTCCGCATCCAGCAGCAGATCGGTGACGGTGTGCTTGGAGAGGGGACACTCCTCGTGGACACAAGGACACCAGAACCTGTCTTTTGACTACCAACAGACAATCCAAGTTGCTGGATCCATTCCCAGCTTTGACATGACCTGTTTTGCACGTGGAGAGGCAAGCAGGAGCTGCGAGCAATGTCAGACTACTTGATACCGAAAATCGCCATAAGCTCCCAGAGCTTGTGACCGCAAAACACTCGAAACACGCTGAAGGACTTATATACGACTGGCTGCAAAGCATAGCAGGATGGCGTTTCTGTGATTTTCCGAGATGTTGTGGGAACCCAGCAGAAACGTGTTGTCGTGCTCCAAGATCCCACTCTGCTCTCCCGCCCGGTGCCTGTCGAAGAGACTGGGCGATGAGGCTCACCTCGGGCTACCACAAAGCAAGAGGCATCAAGAGATGGGAGCCCGGGCCCTCTCCGAGGCCCGGGCTGTGGAGCCCTCGCGCTCGGAGGCCGCCACGGAGTTCACCACGTTCACCTCAGGAGCGGCGAAGGGAGCAGAGCGGCCACGAGCGGCTCTGGCTGAGAACATGCGTAGCGAGCGGCCATCACGCCAATCAGCATGTACATCATGGTCACCTCGCACGTGAAACACGAAAACAATCCATGCCACCCATATCACCCATAGACCACTGGAAGTCGAGGCACTGATGTGATCAAGATGAAGAGCACCACAAAAGGCCAGAAGACAGGATGCCAGGCCGCCAGGGAGTAGACAAAGGAAGCCTGAAAATCTGTACGTGCGAGCGCTTGCGCTGGTAGCCTTGCCCATGTAGACTTCGATAACTTGCCGGACTCATCTCCCGCTGTCTGACAAAAGCACTCTGCTGTTAATGCGCCATCATGAACTATCCCGGATGCGCCGTGCTGTGTGGTACGACGCACTGTTTTGCCTCACCACCTGGTATCCAGGGTTATACGGTCCATCAATGTCCATATGGGTGGTTGTCAAAATTGGGGTCCCGTTTTGGGCACCCTAAATATTAATTATTAGGTGCCGTATTATAATAGGGACCCAAAAAGGGACCCTAATTTTGACAACCACCTAGAAGCAGACTATGGCATGGTGCTGCATGCTTGCTGCTTTCTGCTTATGGCATGTTTTGTGCTGCGCTGCTTTGTGCTTCAGCATGGTGTGGTTCCTCGCAAGTGCTTCATGTTGCATTGCAGCGGCAGATCCTAGAGAGTGGCATGCTGCATGTGCTCATACACTGAAGTGTACCCTGCTGTGAGATGACTGCACGCTGCAGAAGACAATGCGTGGAAAGCAAGGTGCATACTCCAACAGCGCATAACGTATCAACTTTTTCAAGATAACCGGCGCAAAACTCAATCCGAAGCAAGTTGCACTCTCTGCGAACATGCTCTTCAGCAGCAACGTGTTCCTTGGCCGTGTTGAAGCTCGTACTTGGGGAGAGGGTGTGTCCACAAGATCGCAAGTGCTGAGCCAAAGAGTGAGGAGCTAGGCGGCTGCCGGGAGGTTTCGGATCAGGGGGATAGCTTCGGCCCCATCGGTCTGTCAGTTTCGGGGCGATGTGGGCAGTTTCAGTCCGATTCTTGCAGGCCTGGGCCACAAACTGACCGAAACTGACCATGTCCTGATCCGAAACCGTCCCGGACCATGTTCCGAAACTCCGCCCCGAAACTCAACACCGACACAACCTCGAAAACCCTGAAACTCACGGAACCTCCCACAAACACCGACTCTCACTTAATACAGTACCACCCTTCGAGTTCTAAGAAAAGTAAAGCTGCTCAGGAAACTGCATCGACAAAAAACGCTATGCACAGATGCGTGCGGCTGCGGTGCATGGACGTCGCCACGGTGGCAAAATCCGCCGTAAGTGCAGAGTCCGCTGGTGGCTCCTGCACCTCGAAGAACTGACGCAGCGACTTCTGTGTTTGCAGCATTTGACTCGGGGGGAGTGTTCGGGAGCAGGGTGCGAAACCATTTCACGCACTTGAAAACCTTTTTGGGCAACCACTAGCTGTTTCGCGCAGGGCGCATGCATACTCTGGACAACGGACTCACCCATGCGGAATTGCTGCAGACTGCCACGTGGGGATCCGCCGTGCACGGAGGCCGCGACATTCACACAGAGGACTTAAGCGGAAACGTCAGGCTCTGGCTGAAGGACACAAACGAAGTGTTGACCGTATGTAAGCCCTACATAACATATACCCCAAAATCTGCGTGTAAACGCCCTCTGAATTCTGAACCCACAGCCCCCAACCCTACTATAAATCTGCGAATGCTGCAGATTAGGAGCCCTAATCCCAAGAAAGCCTGTTGTCCTAAACAACAAAACCCTACCTCCTGAAATGTCAGAAACCCTGAAACTGGTCAGCCCACAAACCCTAAGGCCCTAAACTGTTAAACCCTGATTTGTTGAAACCCGAAACCCGACGCAGAAAAACCCTCCACCTTTACCCTCTTCTCGCGTGCTTGAGTTTTCAGTGCTTGAAATGCGCTGGAATCGCAAGGGCTTTAATCGGGATGAATGGTAGAATCCGCACTCTTGAATCGCACCGCTGGAATAGTGGTCCGGTGCTCGAGTCGCGATCCAACGTGGTGGACACAGGAGCACTGTGCTTCAAGGGACCCCGCAGCCCCTAAAATGACATTTAAACTGACCCCTGCTCCGCTAAGCTCTTCCCTGTCAACCCAAAACTCTTCTTAGGAAACACCTACATTACACCCAAATCTTCAAAGAGCAGAAGCCTGCCGATCATATCAGAAATTCCAACTCCGACGAGCAGCCATATCTGTGATCTGTTTCATCAGCAAGGCGAAAACGTAGAGGACCATCACACAGAAGGCTGCAATCACCTGATGCTGTGGCACTCTGCAGGGGGCAGATGGAAGTATGACCCAAAACAACCTGCAACTTTGCTCTCCGAGACTACTTGCGGAAGCCACACCACAACAAGAATAGGCATCTGCAAAATAACGTTCGTTGGCAAGCAAACTTCAACCTTTCAACGCTCTTATGACTCAAACATGAAGTGGAAAGTGAGGTTCAGCTTCAGTCACCAAGAGTGAGCGGCCAGCTGCACCGATTGCCTTGGCCACCTTGTGGCACAACTCGGGATCACACGAGCACATAAAGTAGGTACTACATTATGGTAACGATGAGCACGATCGGTCTGACGCGACGGTGGGCGACAGTGGGAGCTACGGCAACAGCGGTGACGGCCACGGCGACCTCGTCGAGCTCCGGACACATATCAGGATGACGACCATGACACCATGCTAATGTATGCTGATTACGGCGTAATGCAAGTAGCAGACGGTCTACCCCGAATATTTTTTCAACCTCGAACCCTGAGCCTGAA